TCTCTGCTCTGAGATCTGTAAGGATCTTTAGCTCACTGTCTTGAAAACCTTTTAGACGATTGTAGGATAATTGGGCCAATCAAGTGGCTGAGGAATGATACCCACCATTCTTAAAAAGAATCAAAGAAAAAAAAAATCTAGTGAAGTGAAAAGAAGAAGAAATGAGCTAAACATTTTTTTTTAAATTATAAGGCCAGAATAAAAAACAAACACCAATGAATTTTCCAAACTGAATCAAAACCAAACTGATACGTATTTGTTTTGCTCTAAGACCCTGGCTTGTGGCTTTGTCTCAGGAAAGGATTTTGGCAGCATTATCTCGGCTCACCTTCCTCCCCGGGGATACCAGCCCTGGAATGCGATGGGCAGGGGGTTTCAGCCTGGTCACATCTGCTTCCTGGGGGAGGTGCCTTTTGCAGGTTGCCACAGGACCTGCCTCTTTTATATCAACTCAGGGCATCGCCTGGTGCCTGCTGTGTGCACCCTGCAGCCCCAGCATTCAGACAGGCGGGGTCTCAGGATTTGCAGTGGAAGCGGAAGCGTTTGCTGGTTGATTAGAAACAAGTTCTAAACCCAGTGTCCACAACTGTTTGTTTTACCGATGAGGTAACGTAGGAAAGTGCAATCCACCAAACCGAACTGGCCTTCGCTCCTTGTGGCCGGAGGCGCTGGGAATCTCCTTGGAGTCTGGCCCCTCCCCTCCTGGTCTGTAAGCAGGAACTCACTCAGGAGATCTCGGAAGACTTACGTTTTGTGTGTGTGTATATTTTTTAAAGTTAAAAGTGTGTTCTCCAGCTCCAGACTTTCCATTTGGTTCTTTTCTATGCCGTCTCTTTGTTGGATTCAGTCCGTTCTTGAATTGTCCTGATTTCATCAGATCGCTTACCTGTGTTCTTTTGAAGCTCTCTGTGCTTCTTTAGAGCAATTGCTTTGCGTTCTAGGCAGTTCACCTGTTTCCATTTCTGGGGTGGGGCGATTTTTTGGGGGGAGGACAGTTCCTGGAGGTTCGCGCTCCTTTGGTGTGTCATGTTTCCCTGATTCTTCACCATCCCTGTAGCCTTGCAGAGTCAGGAAAGCCCATCACCCGGGGGTGGAGGCCTGCAGGGGCTGTGATCCTGGGTCTGGTGGTGAAAGGCACTGAGCGTGGGCTTGTGGTGGCTTTGCTGTCAGGGCATCATGTTGCCGGGGTCCACAGCACCAGCTGTGCAGTGCTCGAGGAGCACGGCGGGAGGTCTGCAGAGGCTGGAAGGGCTGTTGGGGTCCTCAGTGATGCTCTGGGGTCCAGCAGTGGTGACGGCCCGAGCTGGTGGGTGCTTGTGCTCAGTTGCAGAGCCAGCCATGGATGCCTGTGGGTTGCAGTGGCAGGGGCCAGTTGCAGATGCACATACAGCGGTGAGAGCCAGGGCCAGTAGCAGGGACCGAGCTAACTGCAGGGGCACTAGCAGCTTTGGGGCCCCTACCTGTCAGGCACACTCCTAGGGCTTCCGGGTTTCCACAGGCTGTGCACGGCTCCCAAACGGTTTGGGAGCTGGGCCAGCGGGTGCAGGTGCACAACTGGAGTGGCTCGTTGCAGGTGACCCCAGTGGGGCATCTGGTGACAGGAGTCAGGGCCAGATCCGGGCCACCAGGGGCAGTGGAGGCCCTAGCTGTCGGGGTATACTACTGCAGCTTGATTACAGTTTGACAATCAGCATCATCAAAAAGCCGTCTCCGATGCCTACCCTAAATTTACCCTGGCCTGTCGCTCCCCTTTGCCCCAGTCTCCGCACCAACAGAAGCTTTCACTGCTCCTTCCAGGAGGACTTTCATACCTGTAAAGCAGCAAAGTCCTTCGCATTTTTCTCTCACTCACACTGTGTTTGTTCAGGGGGCCAGGCATCTCACCGCCTTCTGCCACCCCAGAGGCACACGTTTTTAGGCCGCCAGCGGGGGACCCGTGGGTTTCTCATGTTACGGACATCACAGAACTTGCCTCTCGAGCTTATCACTAGCTGATAGATTGATTAGCTCAGACCCTCTGAATGAAGAGATGGCTACACCTTTCTAATAATTATATCAATACCACATAATTCCGTGAATCTATTTGCTGACCATAACCTAAGAGTTAATGTTTAAAAGTTTGAAGAGGGTTACAATTGCTTTGCTTCACAGATGCTCTGATTTCTTCGTTCTATCACATGTAATGGAGAAAGTGTTTGCTAACATTTGGGTGCTGACGATGTGCCGAACACTGACCAAAGACTTTGCCATGGTCCTAAGAGGGAGGCACTAACAATAGACCCCTTTTAGAGATGAGAAAACTGAGGTTCAGAAAATACCTTGCCAAAGTTAATACATTTAAGAAGTGGCAGAGCCTCCTGCCTGACAAACTCCCATGGGATCTATAGTACAGGAGGGCCATTTGACCTTGGCCTTGGCCTTGGCTGTGGCCTTGTCTGGAAGGCCTTACATCTGGATGTTTGACATTATCTCCACATGATATGTTACAGGCAGTCATAGAAGTACAATAGAGAATTGAGAAAAGTCTGTCATACAACTTGGACCTCAGTACACTATGGAGATACACACACACACACACACACACACACACACACCATTTCTGTTTATGTTAAAGTCTTCAGTTAGGTAAACATAAACATTTTAAATATATCATAGCTCTGAAACCCCGTTTTGATATTTCTTCCTTTGGTAACATACAAAGAGTCCCATCAATGAAACTGGCCTGGCCATGTCTTGACATTGGAAAATCATAGGATCAGGAGGGAAATGTTGACTCTATTTTGTCCAACTCCTTCATTTCATATGCGAGGAAATGGAGACACAGAGGTGGTGAGTCACCTTCCCAGGATCACCCAGCTAGAGTGCCCTCTGAGAATGGAGAGACCCGTGTCCTGCACCCACTGCCATTGATACCAAGCTCACGCTTCCAACGGAGCAAGGGGAGAAGCTACACAGGTGGGCACAGAGACAGGAACATGCGGGGTCCAAGAAGCATCACTTTGAAGGCCAATAGCTTCTTTCAGTATGATCTTCTTTTAAAAAACATGTGCAGGAAGAGATTGCATTTCTATAGAACTTCCCACATTCCAAAGCCTTTTTGGAACTAAGTCAACATTGAGCCTCCTGACCACCCTGGGAGAGGGGTGTGCAGACATTGATGTTTCTGTGTTCCAGATGGGGAAACACACGTCAAGAAATATCACACATCTTTTCCAAGGTGACGCGGGCAGGCGGTGGCGCGGCTGTCCCTGTCATTTGGGACTCCGGGCCGGACAGTGCCCTGCGCCTCACCCTGCTCAGGTGTACGGCGCATCTCACAGCAATCACAGAGCGAACGGCGCAGGCAGTTGTGTTCTGATGCTATCCATACGCTCTTTTCAATCCCAGTGTATTTTCTCTGGGAGACACTATTCTTCCTGTGTTCAGTAACTTAGGGAAAAAGGTAATTAGATCTCAACCATATTCATAAAGTCACCACGATTTCAGGATGGAGAGGAAGCACTTCAACTGTTCCTAAGGAGTCTCTCCTGTCAGTGGTGAGGCATGAGGACACTTACATGAAGCTCAGCCTGGGAGCCCATCCTATTGCGATGAAAAAATGCAGCCCGAAACTGGTTTGGCTCAGTGGTTAGAGCATAGGCCTGCGGACTGAAAGGTCCCAGGTTCGATTCCGGTCAAGGGCATGTACCTTGGTTACAGGCACATCCCCAGTAGGGAGCGTGCAAGAGGCAGCTGACCGATGATTCTCTCTCATCGATGTTTCTAACTCTCTATCCCTCTCTCTTCCTCTCTGTAAAAAAATCAATAAAAATATATTAATAAAAAAGAAAAAGAAAAAAATGCAGCCCTTGCAGTCTTGCAACTCTTTGTCTAAAGCCCTTGTACCAAAGAGGGTATTTTAATGCAGTAAATAAAAGCAGGCGCTTCCAGCACACAGCCACCACTTGCGGCTGACACACACACAACAGAGAAGGCACACCAGCCTCGGGTCCCAACTCGCTGCGGGGTGCTTTCATCTCTTAAGAGACGGAAGGAAATAACCTCAGAACCTGACCACCAAGACTTCCAAATCTGTTGCAACACAACGTCATGGCAAAATGCTGTTTTCTTAGCGGCTCACATTTTTGAATAACCACCGTGGCCAAGAATGCCTGGCTTTATTTTTACAATAAACCCCAAAGAAAGCCTTGAATTCCACTCCCGGTTCTGAGGTGGCAAAGATGCCTTGGTTTGTTCAGAGCAAACCACCAAATCTAATAAAGCAGCCTTCCCCTCCCTGGATTATCTGGACCCTGAGGCGTTTGTTTCACGTTTATGCTGGTTTGACACTAATTGTGCTTAAATGAGATTTCGTACCACGTTTTCCTACGCAGATCTGAGCTGCAATAGTTAACAGTGCCAGCTCTTCCCCAGGCTTATCAGTAAAAAAGCATTCAGCCTGAGAACACACTTCCAGTGTAAACAAGACAGAATTGCACATCCAGCCACATTCCACCGAGAGCTGTCTGAGCAGAGAGAAGTACAGAGCCACAATAAAGAATTTCCCTTTTAATTTAGCACCAGTGTGCCTACTTCTCATACTGCTTTTGATAGCTTGTTATCACCAATTTGTTACAGCGCTGTTAAATTTCATAGAGGAAGCAGCAAGGTATAAAAAAAGCCTTACATGTACTTTAAAATTCTACACAAATGTCACACTTTTCCATTTATTTTCATTATAATTAAGTTGGCCTACAGACATAGTAAAAAAATCTTCTTCTAATCTTATCTTAGTGCAATTTGTTTATAGTTGATATACTTGATATTAGTTGTTTGCAAGGATGTCAGGAAAATATATATATATATAACCTCTCCCACCTCAGTTCTCTTGAGACTGAAATTTGCACAGCCTGATTTCTTGGTCCAGGTATGTATTGTAGCTTCTTAATGACAAATACATTTTCATAATAAGGAATGGAAAGCAAGCTAGCTGCATGGCTTAATAATTTATCAGACGTACCTTGTTTGAAGAAAGCAATATTTTGTTCAAGAATTTTCCACCACACAGAAGGGATGTCCCTTTTTCCTTAAGCTTTTCTGCATCACAGATCCCATCCAAATGTTGTTTGTTCCAAGGAAGAAACAACAAGAGGTCCAGCCACCCTTTCTTCTCAGAGGAGCTAATCAAACATTCCCATCGACCTCTGAGCACTCTGAAAAGCACACTTTACACCACACACACACACTCACTGCTTCTCACACTGGTTTTAGTGCTGAATTAGGCGGTCCTCTTTCAAATTTCCACTCCCACTTGCTTTTTTTTTTTTTTGATGGTGGAGATGTGTATGTGTTTGGGGGTGAGGGGAGGATAAGGATTTCTAAATATTCTTTTCTAGCCCAAAGCATGCATTTTCAGTAAGCAAATTCTACAGTTAGAAATTCTAAAAAGTAGAAGAGAAACACCTAGAAAAAAAATGAAAATATATAATTTGAAGGCAGCCTAAGCAGGGCAATTCCATTTTCTCTTTCTTTTTCAAATGCTGGTGAACAGCTAGATCGAACTGCGTAAAGAAAGACACCAGCAAACACCACCACGCTGAGTCTACTAGCCTCTCACTTTTGGAGTGAAAATGCTTGCTTTTCCGACATGTCAGAGTTATTTTTTGGCTTAGTTCGTTTTCGGTTCCTTCTGCATTTTGGCAAGCTTACTGAAATGACTGTAGTGTTTGCTGCTCGTAACAGGACATAAGATAATAATAGTGGGAAGCAAAACTGGACTCATGCATGTTTCAAAAGCCCAGTGGTGGATAGCTTGCTTCATAAGTGAAGTCTGCTGATTTTAGTTATTTACATATTAGTGTTATCGATTAAATGGAAGGGATTCATACGCGCATTAGCATGTCACAGCATTATAAAAACACCATAAACAAGAACATCTGGAGCTCCTTGAGAGTCAGATGTGTATCAGTGTGGCAGAGCATCTGTTCTCCAGCAGGGGGAGCTAGCACAACGACTCCCTCTTGGGGATGAGCACTCGGGCAGCCTGGAGAATTTTCCCTGCCAGCAGCTCTCCCATCCTCAGCTGGTGGCCCTGGATTGCTTTGTATTTAAGATGATGGTTTGAATGTTATTTCATCCTTGTTTCTTCTGTAGGTTCTGCATTTAAATTATTTCTCAATCCTCTTCCTTCCTCCAAAAAGTCCTGAGTATCGGTCCATTGGTGGTAAGGACGATGCCATCACGTGGAAGGTGACCTGTCCCACTGTTTGAGTCAGGGAAGGTTCAGATGAAATGGCACCCAAGAGCTAGCAATATCACATCATTAATATTAATACTAATGCTAAATGCCATTCATCCAATTTGCTAAGCATGGTGATAAGCCCTGTACATTTATCATCTCATTTAATACTTAGAAGAAGTTAGAGGGGTTAGTACTATTATTTTCATTTTACAATAAGGTGCTGTGTTAGGACTTAAAGTTCCTTTTATTATTTAAATTTATTTTCTTATGATGAACTAGAGGCCCAGTGCATGAATTTGTGACCAGTGGGGCCCCTCAGCCTGGCCTGCAGGATAGGGTCAAAATTAGCTCTTCAACACCCCCTGAGGAGTCCTGATTCTGAGAGGGCACAGGCCAGGCCGAGGACTCCACCAGTGCACGATCGAGAGGAGAAGGAAAGTGGGAGGTTGGCCAGCCAGGGAGGGGCCGCAGGAGGGCTCCAGGGCGTGTCTGGCCTGTCTCGCTCAGTCCTGATTGGCCAGACCCCAGCAGCAAGCTAATCTAATCAGAGCATCTGCCCCTGATGGTCAGTGCACGTCATAGCAACTGGTTGACCAGTCAACTGTCTGCCCCCCTAGTCTTGTACTGTATTTAGCACAAAAACTCAAATCTCTTTTAGAACAGTCTCTATTAAAAGTTTTTTATTATTGTCATAAATATTGGACTTGATGGCTTTTTAAAATACTGCCTCATTCTTTCTTTTTTCTTTTTTGACTCTAGAGTTAGGACTCAGGGAAATCAATGTACTCACTTCACACAAATCCATTCTTTTATGTGACTTTTAAAAATGCAGGATGGCAACTTAAGAGTCCAAGTACTGAGGCAGCCTTTTCAGACACTCCTGATGCTTTTACTGAGTGACACCTTTTATAACACAAGCTCGCTGAAGCATAGAAGGCTCTATTGTGTTGGATGCGTCAGTGATTTACCTTGAACTCCTCTCCAGCGGTTCTGAGGCTCTTCCTGCACACACTGTGCAGGTGTCGCCGCAGTTTCCCGGACGCTGTTGAATGCTCCTCCTAAAAACACGTGTTTTGCGTAGTGTCAGGAGAGTGGGAAATTTACTAACATAATTGATTTTTGTTAAATTTATTTTACTACTGTCGGTTAGAAGCAAAGAAGTATTAGAAGAAAAACACATCTTTCAAAATATTGATGGAGCCAAATTGGGACCACGGATAACTTACAAACAGGTAGACTGTAGGTGTTCCAGAGAGATTTTGCCATGAATGTAAAAGAGCCTCCAAAATTAGAAGAAAGAGTTGTTAGGTATATAGAAGAGTAGGAAAATGGATTAGAGATTAGATAGGAATTACTAAATATGATGCAAAAGGTAAATTTAGTGGCACAAAAGAGATAGTGAACGAATAGAATTCATTTCCTTCCTCAGTCTACAATGACCAGGTAGCTCAGTTGGTTATGGCACTATCTCGATATGCCAGAATTGCTGGTTGATCCCTGGTCAAGGCACATGCAAGGAGCAACCAAGGAATTCATAGATGGGTGGGAAAGCGTGCCAGTGTTTCTCTCCTGCCTCTTCCTATCTCTCTCTAAAGTCCACAAATAAAACATTTTCTTTAAATGTTAGGAAGATTACCATTCCCAAGCACTTCCCTGAACAAAACGAGCTGGAACCACTGTGCATTGGACAGCATCCACAATATTCAAGGCCAATTGACAGGAAAATAAATACAGATAAGTCGCTGTGATTGCAATAGCATAAAAGAGATTCAAAGACCAAGAGGATGCTATTGGCAACTGGCGGCTATCACGACGATCCTAGAATTTTAAAAAAAGGCTGCTGGTTGGCAGATTAGAAAAATATCTACAAAAGTACTTTATTCAAAACAAGGGCTCAAATGAGTTGGCCGGAGATTATAGGCCTTATATCTCCCTTTTTTGCCAAATAAGCAAATGAAGTCTGAACTGGAGGATTGGTTCACTGAGCACTGGCCAGCTGGGGCTCTGCGGGCTCTCAGCCGTGCTGCGCTGTGCCGGGCAGCTCTGTGGGCTGGCTGAGGAGCCTGTCCTGCGTGTATTTATTTGTGTGGTCAGGCTGCAGAGGGACGCTATACCAGGGACCAGCTTCTCTGGGTCATGGCAGAGCCACAGAAAAGAGAAAGTACGTGAAGGCTTCGTCTCAGAACTGGCACACTGTCATTTGTAGCCCATTTCAGTGGCCAAACAAGTTTTTGACTGAGCCCAAAGTCCAGGAACAGGGAATGAGATTCTTCCCATAAAGAGACTATGGCAAAGGTGTGAATGCAGGTAGGAGTGAACCTTTTTTTTAAAAATCCTCACCTGAGGATGTTTTCTATTGATTTTTAGAGAGTGGAGGCAGGGGGTTAAGGGGTGAAGAAACATCGATATGAAACACATTGATAGGTTGCCTCTTGCACATGCCCCAACCCAGGGGCAGGGATTAAGCCTGTAACTGAGGTATGTGCCCTTGACCAGGAATCAAAACTGAGACCCTTTGGTTCACTGGCTGATGCTCTAACCACTGAGCAACTGCCCAGGGCAGGGGTGAACATTTTTATAGTTCATACACACACTGGCATATTTTATCCGTGTCCATGTTTACCACACTGTCTTTCTTCCCATGTCTTCTGTCTGGATTCATCTTTGTTCTTGCTGGTAAAAATATTCAAGAAAATAAGAATTGGCAGGTATTTTAACATAAAATAAATATGCCTCTGTCCTAAAATACATCATCTTACTCAATGGGAAAACTCTAGAGACCTCTCCCAATGGGGACTGATTGGTGGGAGCCTGTGGCAGGCACAGTGGGGCTGGGGTGAGCAGGAGCAGCAGGCAGGAGCTGCAGGCAGCCTTGGAGTGCAGGTTTCAGCCTGATCCCTGCAGGCCACCCAGAGGGACCCCGCCTTTGCATGAATTCGTGCACCGGGCCTTTAGTTAATTAAATAAGGGAAAATAATATCTTCACCGTGGAGAAACCTAGAAGACACCCCTTAGCCTAATGATCACCATATACACGATTCGTAAATAGACAAATTGCCATCATGTACCTCCAACACAATAACTTTCATCTAAGGAATTCCGCTAAAAAATACTTAACTAACTTTAATTATGAGGACACATCAGCCAAACCCAAAGAGAGGAAGAGTCTACGAATGTAGTAGGCTAATACTTTTCAAAAATACCAATTGGGTATGAAAGGCAAAGACTGAGGACAGAGGACAAGTAATGCCATATGTGCTTTTAGATTCTATCTTGGATCAGAAAAACGTTATTAATGGGAACATTGGCAAAATTCAAATGAAGTGTAAACATTAGATAATGATGTTGTTTCAATGTTAACTTTCTGACCTTGATAATTGAATTGTAGTTAAGCAAAAATCTTCATATCTGGAAAAGTCACTTGAAAACGCAGATTCTTCATTTGTAAAATGAGGAAACTAATTTGCCTGTTTTAACTGTCCAATGAGATAAAGCTGATAAAATCACCCTGTAATCTGTAAATTGCCACACAAATTGTTATTATTAATGATATTTATTATATGCCCTTGTTGTGGGTAAGATCAGAGTATTCAGGAATCAGATCCTTTTCTTAATATTTGTTACAGCTGCTCTGGAGGAGATATATATATATATATATATATATATATATATATAGATATATATCTATATATATCTATATCTATATCTCAAACTTTACTGTTACTGTGCCTACGGCACCCCACTGTGCTGGCTGGTGAAATCTGTGCGAATGAGAAGTAAATGGAAGCCAGGCCTTGATGGGGAGCAGCCAAGGTGGTGCCCCTGGAGGTGAGCCACATCCCGCCACATGCCTGAGGGCGGGCTCAGAGTGCCTTTTAAGCCCAAACCAGGGCCTGGCTCTCTTTATGGAAGGGATCCCAAGAGCCTGCGCACAGCCTGGTCACAGGTCAATGTGTTTGCCATCATGTTTGAGTCTTAATGTAGAAACGACGACAGATTGCCATTTGGAAAAGCATGTTTAAG